TTTTAATTACCGTCTAAATCTTACTCGGTTTGGCCGACGCTAGTTTCGGTAATAATTGAAACTAGGTAATTGTTAATCAATTTTCAACCGGTTTCTCTAGTCACATTTGATTTAATTTCCGGGCCGGTGTCACGTCCATCTTGAATTTGTTTCCGACATTTTTCATGAATATTCCAGTTTATCTCTTCAGGGAGAGGAATAATCTGATACTTATCTTCTTCAGGAAAAGAGAGAAAGAGATAACTTGAAAATGAAGGAACCTTTCAGGTTGTTTCTCTTCCCGAAGAGGTGAAATAGAATTATCATGAAACGTCGGAAGCAAATTCAAAATGGACACAGCACCCAGTCCGGCAATTAAAATGGAATGTTTCTCTACACCTCGGAAGCCTAAAATCAGTTTCTGGTCAATTGTTATCTTCTTTTAATCATATATCGGCCAATAATTAACCAATTTTATCTCAGTATGACTTTTTTACTCACATCAGTTCGACAGTTGTTGTCTGATAAGAGATGTGTGAATCGCAGATTTTTTTGTGTCGAATCGAATCAACGAAATACCATCGACATCGAAGCGAATCGGATTAAATCGTAGAAATTTAACGTCTCATTAACAACATAATTAATCACCTGAACTGGGTGGGTATCAATCACTGAATGTTATTGCGAATAATTTTAATCTACGGAAGGATAACAATGTTTGAATGTATGAAACACACGTGCCGGGTGTTTTTTGTAATACACACGGTCAACCCCTCATGTAAAAAAAATATCCTCAGTTATAATTATTATTCGAACTCCACTATACTTCTTCCTAATTATTAACTTTGCGTTAATTGATTCCTTCCAAGAGTCGCGAAAAATTGTCTCAGCCAAGAATCGATCCTGAACCTCGCTGAATTCGCCGCGTCTTAAGTGCACTTAAATTTCTGCACTTTGAAATCCTCGAATAATTCAGATTCCGACAGGAAGAAATCAACTTCGGATATTCCGTACGTCTCTCCGCTTAATAAAGCCGAAAGTTGACGAAAGCAAACGCTGACGCGTTTTCAACGCGTGATCGGCTTCTCTCGGAAAAATGTTCCGCTCGGAAATATTTCGAAACAAATTTGGCCGTAACAGGCGAAGGGAAATTCATTCGACATCCCTAATCTCCATGACCCGGCGTGTTGCTTTTCTTCTCTTGCGCCCTCAGAGTCGCGCGAGATAGCGTTCGGGGTCGCGTTTCGTTTCCATTCCGCAGACATCGAACGTTGTATCGACGCGCCGTGAAACCGGAGGGAAAATAGTTCCGTCGCTATCACGGCGGAATCTTTTCCTCCCACGAGCACGTAGCCTACGAGCGAGCGAGCGTGCGTCGAGATATCCGGCGTAAGTAACGCGCGCCCACATAATTCCGCTTGCTGTATCTTATCGAGGGATCCCGTTGTATGACGTCCCTTTGATCTTTTCGCCCAGCAGGTGCAATCCCAAGTTCAATCTTATCCCCCGTACCTGCTCTGCGGCGGTGCGTCGGCGAAATTACATCAGGACAGCGACAATACCCCGGCTTCTCGGTCCTGGAAACTCCCGTTAATGACGAAAGTCGAGATTCCCCATGGTATTTATTTAAGCCGCGCCCGAGCGAGAGCTCTCCGATTTAACGCGATTGCTATCGAATGTCGTACGCGACTCCCCCCGCGACGTTGAAATACCGCCTGGGCGTACCCTCTCGTATCGCGCTCGGCGGCGCAAAATCGAGCTCTCGAGTACGCGAAAGTCCCATGATGAATACGGGTAAGATTTCGAGGCGCGTGGCACGCGGGAAAATGCGATCGGTTAGAGTCAAGCGGCTTTTCACTTGATCAATCGCAGCTCGAGGATTTTTACACGACGGTCCCAAGTTTGTGATAATTCTCGCGGCTGATTAACCGATTTATTCATCGCTCTCGTGCTTGTAGCTCTGATCAGGGTTGAGAGTTATTTAAAAAGAATTAAAAAGCTATGTATACGAAGCTTTTTATCTGATAAATTTATCTGATTTTATCTAATGAAAAAAGTTCGTTGCCGAAAATATTTGAAAAATGGTTTCATTACTATTATCCATTGAAAGAAATATCGCATTGTCATTTCAGCAATAATGAATCAGAAATTGCAATTAATTGTCGATATTGGATTTCTTCTAAAGTCAGGAAACTTAACTTCTCAGAAGAAATCGAGCATCTCGACGTTACATAACGTTCCATTAAACTTTATTGCACTATAAAATGCCCGAAATATACAGAGTATTCGGGATCTTTTGGAAACAAAAAATTGTGAAGATTAATCAGATCGAACTGAGAAGAAAAGTCAAGTACCATTTTTCAAAAATCGCAATAGTTATTAAATTATTAATGATTGAGGCTGACCATATTTAGAGGCCCTTTTAGTTGATAATTTAAAAATATGCCTATTTATTCGCAAAATGATGAAGAACTTTGTTGTTCAGAATGATCCAATCTATAATTATACGACAGCTATTGTGTCTAGCGATAGATACGAGTATATTAAACTTTGAACCCTGAATCTTAAGCTTGTCGCACAACAGCCGTCACATAATTGTAGATCAGGTCATTCTGAACAAAAAAGTCCTTTATTATTTTTTGCAAATAAGCACGCAAGTTGTCAATTAAAAGATCTCCTAGATATGGTAATTTCCAATCATTAATAACTTGACAACTATTGCAATTTTTGCATGGCAGATGGCACTTGACCTGCCTCCTCACTTCAAACTGATTAATCTTCATAATTTTTCATTCCCAAAAGATCCCGGGCCAAAAGACCCCGTATGAATATGGAATATTCTTCAAAGCTCTCAGTATCCTTTATTCGCCCGGAGCGTTTCCCAAGTATCTCCGTTCGCGAGAAGAGTCGTCCTGCGACGGCAACGACGTTTTGGCCGCGACGCCGCGTCGCGTCGTCCCGCAAATCCACGGAAGAGCGCGACCGAGCAATGGCGAGAGACAAGCCTCTACGGGCTAACGGCACGCGCAACATCCGCGCGTGCAAGCGGGAATTAATGGCAGTGATCCCGTTGCGATTTCGCATCGGGCGGCGTTCCACTCGATACCGCTCGATACCGCTCGATACCCAGCGAGCGGGCGAGAGCTGAATCCTTACGTCGGCCGCGCGCCGGGCGTACTCCTCGTCAGCCCGGCCGGCGTCGCCAGGCCTCGCCAGGCGTCGACGTTCACTTCCGCGTCTGCTGACCCGTCGATAGTCCTCCGGCCCTCAAAGTTTGCCTAATGGGGCTCATTCGACACGGCCGAGCCGGAGCGTATATGCCGGTGTACGCAGCCAGTCCCGGGCTTCGATCCCATTATCAGCCATCGGCCAGCAGCAGCAGCAGCCCGCACCCCCGGCTGCTCCAGCCGCTGGAAAGCACCGTCTACAATTCCGCCGCCTGATCCATTCTACCCTGGTCCGTTGCCACGGTCCACTGTACGTTTCGGTAATGAGCCACTAATTGGCAATTGCGTCGAATTGCACCCTAGACGCGCGCCCGGGAGAATTCCGCTCCGTGGGCCGTTACACGCCGCGTTCGGACGTCGTTGTAACCGCTGTTGCATGAAACGAGTGGCGTTACTGATGATCGCGGCCGAGCAAATGCACGAACGAGCGAGCGAGCGAGCGAGCGACGGTTGCGCTCTACCGCGCGGCGCACAGCCGTGCACAGCTCACGACCGCACGGCGCGATCCTCCTTGGGAAACGCAGAGCCGGCGAAGCAGCTGAGAAACGCGGCTCTTGAAACGTGACGTCCCTCACCAACCGCGCTTGTTGCTTGTTGGTCTCTCTCGCGAGTCTTGGATCCAGCTCGCGGAACAGACTGTTCGCGCAACTGCCGCGCGATACCACCGGCCGCTCTCTCTCTCTCTCTCTCTCTCTCTCTCTCTCTCTCTCTCTCTCTCTCTCTCTCTCTCTCTCTCTCTCTCTCTCTCTCTCTCTCTCTCTCTCTCTCTCCCTCTCCCTCTCTCTCTCTCTCTCACTCGGCGCCCTCCGCTTCCCACTCCCGCTTTCGCCCCCGGAGAAGTGAAGTTTCACGCTGATATCTGGAAGATGTCTTTTCGCCCCGACATTTTGAAAGGGCGGTCCTCTCGTCGATCGGTTTTCCGTTGTCGCCACAACGGTGAATCGGTGTCACAAGCGTCGATTGTCCCGTTTGTTTTTGTCTCCGCTTGCATCCCCGTCCACATCTCGTTCTCCGCGTGAAATTAAAAATGATATTCTGAGAAGTAGCTGAGGTATATCTTCCGTCGTTGAAGATCAGTGACGTAATTCTCAGCCGTCATCGCTTAAATCGTTAGAATCGTCCTTCTTTTACTTTCACCTCCACGCAATTGTCCAAATATCCTTCGACTTTCGGGGGGAGAAGGTGTGTGACGACCTCCCGTTATCAGGGCGCAAACCGGGGTTAAGCGGCCGTCGTTGCGCTAAATAAGCGACGAGTTACCAGCCGCGAGCGTTAATCAAAGACAAAGCGCCGTGTACAAACCGCGTGCGTGCGCGCGCGCTTTATTCTCGCAAGGTGGCGAGGTGAACGATAAAACACAGGCCGGCAGGCGAGCGAGAGATCGGTTGTAAAAATTGACATCGGCCGGCGGCGATGAGAGAGATCGGGGAGTGATCTCCCCTGCGCATAAAAAGCGCAGCCCTTGTGCAGGAGTGATGCCATGCAGGTGGCCTGCGCTAATAAATTAGCCATAAGCCGAGTAACGCCGAGCTGCGACGGTCAAGTGCGTCGACAAAAACCAAGCAGAATGGATTATTAATTACGATATTACGTCGACGAAAAGGGGAGCTCGGAGGGCGCAGAGGGAAAGCGCGAGAGAAGGAGAGTGAGAGAGAGAGAGAGAGAGAGAGAGAGAGAGATGAGAATTTTTCCGCACGGGTGCGGAATGTGCGCATTGTGCGCGCGGTCCAGCTGATACATTTGTAACAACATGGAATCTCCGAAAAGCGTCGCTCGGCAGTCGGTTCTCTCGCGCGCGAGAAAGGCGAGACTGCGGGATGAAGAGGCAGGCGCGAAGAGTCGCCGTCGAACTGCACGGCCGTGATGACATCGCGGAAGTTGGCGAAAGGCGATTTTTTTTACGGTCGGTCGCGGCTCAGACGAGGACTAAGTGCGTCTTTTTCCGCGAGATCGGCGCTTCGGAAAAACGGAGAAACGCGCGGTCGATACATACGAGGTTTGATCAGAAAGTAACGGGAATTTTGAAATTGCGCGCGCTGTATCTTGTCTGCTCGGTTGATTCTGTTTTTTGTGTGTTGGTAGCACTGCCAGTGACGTATGTGTCGATTTTCAGGCAGCTGCGACGCATAGTTTGTGTTTGGCGAGCGAATGAGCAAGACGTATACTTCAGTGTGTTTGGCGATTTTTTGCGTGGCGAAATCAGTCGGACCAGAGAGTTTGTCTGAAATTTTGTGTTAAAAACGGAATTAAGTGCAGCGAAGCGTTCAAAATGTTAAAGGAGGCCTTTGGCGACGATACTGATATGTCACAACCACGAGTTTATGAATGGTACAAACGCTTTCAGGAAGACCGAGAAGACATCGAAGATGACGCGAGGTCTGGGCGTCCTAGCACGTCCACCAATGATGAACACGTGGAAAAAGTTAAAGAGATTGTGCTTGCTAATAGAAGAATCACCATTAGAAAGGTTGCTGAAGAAATAGGAATTTCATACGGCTCACGCGAAGTGATTTTTACTAATGTTTTGAACATGAAACGAGTGGCAGCGAAATTTACTCCGAAACTGCTGAATTTTCAAGAGAAACAGCATCGCGTAACCATCGCAAAACCACCTTGTTCTCCAGACATGGCCCCCTGTGACTTTTTTCTATTTCCCAAACTCAAAAGGACACTCAAAGGACAACATTGTTTTTCAACAATAGATGAGATAAAGGCGAAATCGCTGATCCAGCTCGAGACGATACCTAAAGAGGCGTTCCACCAGTGTTTCTCAAACTGGAAACTACGTTGGCAGTAATATAATACGTATCACAGGGGGACTACTTTGAAGGAGATGAGACAAATATTGAAGATTAAGTAAATACCTTCCGAGAAAATTAAAAATTCTCGTTACTTTTTGATCAAACCTCGTATGGAGCCGCGCAGCGAGAGATACAGCGTGCCTCGCGTTCAATTAATCTAACGCGCGAGCGCTCGTATCCGATAGCCGGCGCATTGTAATCGAGCAGCTGACGCTCAACTACGCCAATTATCATCGACATTATTCCGATACATCGCAAGTGCGCCAAGCTCTCCGTCCTTGTCTGCCCGGCGGAGCGCGGTCGTCACGTGAATGTCGCACGAAATGGACGGATGACACGGGAGATAAGGAGATAAGGATCTCGGCTCGTAGGGATAATCGAACAGGGATCAGAGGAGAATTCGGGGGCGATAAGTGATGTCGCTGTTGTCGTGAACGAACAATTTTCTTCCGAACATTCAACTGTATTGAGACTCGCTTGAGATTGAGGACAACCGACTGATTAGAAGCCTTCTGCAAGGATCTTTCTGCTCCTGCAGAAAGAGTTTTCTATTTAATGCCTATATACTTTCCGGGCAATGGAGAGAGAATTCAGTAAAATTCGATAAAATTTAATGAAATCCAGTTACACTATCGGAATTGCTGTTTCCGCGTGGTTAGTCGATGCGATCGAGGCTCGCGGTTGCATAGATGTGGACGCGCGTCGATTTGATGGGAAAGAAATGTATAGGGCGTTCCAGGAAAAAATTTACAGGATAAACAGTACTTAATGTACCGAGTAAAAAAATTAAGTGAAAAATGTGTGGGTCGAAGGATCAATCTTTTCAGAATTACAAACCTTTTTTATTTCGGTACCGCGAGTAATTTGTGCGCTTCCACTGATCATGCGCGGTGGATAAACGATTGAGTATCTTATCATATTATTACTTCGATATTTACGAAAGATATATATAGAGAACATTTATTGTATAAACAAATCAATATAATAATATGATAAAATACTCGTTCATTTATTCAGCAAAATCAAAAGACATTTGAGAAACTCCGAAAAACTTGATTTTCTACACGTCTGGAATCCTGATTTTTTGGAACACCCTGTGTATAGTGCCGCGTCCTCGACAATCCATCGCGATCCGGACATAATGAGGGACGTTTGACTGTCGTTAAGTGCGGATTTCCCTCACGGGGAAGAGAGTCCCGTGCTTCTAGCTCCCGACCGAACTTCCACGTACCGGCTCAACTTCCGAACTTCCCTAACTTCAACATCCATTTCTCACTTGAGCCGCCTCATTAACTTCAGCCGCAATTTAAATCCGAATCTAATTTCGTCCTTCGCTTGCCCTGATATCTGACCTCGAGAGCGGCGAGGTCATTAGAATGTTTTGAAGTTACTCTTCCGCTCTCTATATATCTTGCCGTCATTTAATTCTTCCGGTTCATATAGAACGTCGCTTGAAATTTCGTCGACTTTCTCTCTCTCTCTCTCTCTCTCTCTCTCTTTCTCTCTCTCTCTCTCTCTCTCTCTCTCTCTCTCTCTCTCTCTCTCTCTGGAGAGTCAGAAACGGGAGTCTTCTTAGCGCTGTGTGATTCTAATCTGGACTCGGATGAGAATTTCGCGACACGCACGCACGAAACTAAGTATGACTCGGGTTGTTTCCACAGTTATCTTGCCTATTTTGCACGCAACTCTCAAGTATGAAGTTAGCCGAAGAGTTTGCTGCGCTTTTTCAGCAAGATTCGGCTAATCAACAGCCGAAACTCAGCGTACAAGAGCCACTACAATTTCCTCGCGCTCGGTTTGCTAAATTATTTTAATTCTCAACGATGCAACACATACGCGTAGTTCGAACGTAGTTCAAACGTGTCCCCTGCCGCACATTATTTATCGATCAAGAGAGGAATTACATGCGGAAGGCCGTTTTCAAGGTTATTTTTACGAATTTTTTTAACAGAAACGGTAAGATCAATGGACTTGAAATTTTCACAGTGTATTCATTAATGTTCAAAGTATAAAATAAATTTTATTGTATCACAAGAAGAGGTCCAATCTGTAATTATAGATAAAAATGCAGCTATCCGTTTGCGAGCTTTATGTTTGTTGCCGACATAATTCCGGGCCTCTTACTCTGAAACCAAAAAATAAGAAAGAATTTTAAAATATGCGGTTGCCATTATAGCCATGATATCAAAATAAAGGCAATAAAACTAAATTTGGTAAAATAATGACTGTACAAAAAAAAGTATCGGAAATGAAACTCTTTTCAACTTGTAATCGTGTTTAAAACAAATGAATAAAATGAAATATAACTGTGTTTGAGGTAGGGGCGGAAAACTACATGTGTACTACATATTGTTTAAAAATTTCAAATTATTCGATTCAGTAGTTTTTGCGTAATCGTGTCGACAGTTTAAGAAAATGATATTTTCAGATAAACGCGTTTAAAATGTTATGTATATTTTCCATATAGATAGTAATAAATTTATTTTATACTTTGAACGTTAATGAATACACTGTGAAAGTTTCAATTGATATTATCCATTGATATTACCATTCTGTTAAAAAAAAAATTCGTAAAAATAGCCTTGAAAACGGACTGCTCCGCATCCCGTAATTCGCCCCTTAAAGCAGTCAAAGGAGAAACCGCTTCTCTTGCAAATTAACTTCATTGCCATATTGGCTGCAAAGAAATTATTCACCGACCAAATGTAATCCTCATGTGTGTTCCTTCGCCAACGGCTTGGCAACGTTACAACACAACGTTGTAACGCACTTCTATCGTAAAGCAGAAAAACACTCACTTTTACCGCCGAAGAATTCTCAAGCCGGTCTTTCTGACAGATCCGGCATAAACAGCGCCAGCTCATAAACTTGCGTAGACTCTCTCCTGGAAATCATTTACCTACTCAAACAGCCGAAGGCGAAACTGTTCCCTTGGCAAATTTCACTTCGCCGCTCTCGATGCAAATAACAACGCTGATCGCGTTCGCGTTTCGCGCGCGCACGCCACTCACTCGTTACAATCGTCCGGCATTCGCGCACATTTGCCGTCGTTCTTAGAGACTCGTCCGGCCTGGACGATAACGATAACGAACGTTCCCACCGCCGCGCCGCCCGCCGTTAACCGCCTCATTATTTCGTCCGCGATGCAAAGTAAAAGTTCGCTCCCCCCTACCCGCTCCACGCCCTCGCGGCCACGTTACCGTTGCCGTTCCGTTCCGTTCCGTTACGTCCGCCACAGCGGCGGTTCGCCAGCGGGCAAAATGTTCGCTCCATTAGGAAAAACTCCCGCAACATCGGAAACAAATCGACTCCCTTCTCGCTCCGCCCTCCCCGCCTCGCCGCCCGCGCTGCGACGCGCGCGAGGTGTGCGACCGCTAATTGCGTTTGTCATACCGATAATTAATAATGCATCGCCCGGAGCGGCACGACGACTGACCGGCGAATTAAATGCATTAACGACGATAATCGGGTTGCGGTGAATGCCAAATCGAAAATACACCGACGGGGAGTTATTGAATGCAAACGAGGGCGCGATCAATCATCCGGCTCAGCTACTGGCTTTCGACGCCCGTAATGACGTTCCGCCGCTTTGCATCGCTATCACTGATTACGGAGGGATGGAAGGGGGAGGAGGGCGGAATAGACGAGGATGGGTCGGGGGGAGGAAGAGGACCGACGGGAAAGGGGCTGGGAAACAAAACGCACGAGGGGAGGATGGAGGTCGAGTAAAATCAAAGAGGATTAAATAGACGCGAAGCTCGAGTGCGCGGTGCGGTTTGCAAACGCCATTTATCGAAAAGGGCTCTGTATTTAACGTCACGGAAGCCCGACCCGCCGACCGACAACACCAGCTGCAATGCACTTTGTATAAACCGTTAATTAATCGCTCGGATTATGCTGCGCGCTGGTCGCTCATTGGAAGAAGAAACACGAAAGAAAAAGTCGCGCTCTGGACAGCGCACGCGCGAAAGGATATTTATTGATATCCTTATTAATATACCGGGCTGGATGCGCGACGAATGGGCGATTAGAAGTAACTCGGGGAGTTACAAATAATACGCTATATACAGAGCGTTCCGGAAGAATTTTGACAGAGGCGTAGAACGGATCCAGGTGAACAAAAAGGTTCCATACCATTTCGCGATATTCGCAATAATTATCGAGTTATTAATTAAGAAACGTAAAAGCGGCGAAATAAGACTGGCGCATGGACGAATAGTGATGCATTGTCCTTCCCCTCACCGCGCGCCGGCATAAGTTGCTAAATCGACTGGGCCACCCTCTTGCCCAGGTGGCTGCAATGTTTCTCCAGTCATCCATCTGGGCACGCGCTCATTCCTCAGATTTCTATAATTAATAACTCGATAATTATTGCGAGTGTCGCAAAACAATATGAGACTTTTTCGTTCGCTTTAATCCGTTCTACTCCTCCACGAGTTCTGTCAGAATTGTTCTGAGGCACTCTAAATATAAGTTGAGCGTCTCAAAATGGTACCCTATAGACGGAGCTCAAAATGATTTTCTTGAAAAAATCAAACTGCTTACATTTCCAACATTTAATCGAAGTCGACTCGTCGACTTCAATTCTTGCGTCAGTTGGACCTTATAAATATATAGACCGAAGTCTTTGTGCAAAATGCGGCGCAGGCTGCTTTGTGAAATGGCTAATTGCTCCAATAGGCAAACTTGGATTTTTCGCGAGATTTTCAGCTATATTAGCAGCCATGTTTTCGGTTGATCTAGCTAGCCGAGTTAGTTGGATTCTCAACATCACTAACCTGGCTGAGAAATTTATCGATTAAATTTATAATTGCTAGGGAAGACGCTTCTCTGCTACCAAAACTGATTTTTCGAACTGTCTCCGCGAAACTTTTACCATTTGCATGTTTATAGTGAATCTTCACTGTTTCTATGCGTTGCTCAAGCGAATATCGATCAATTGTTATTAACCGCGTAATTTCCACTCAACAGCTGTCAAATGTGACGCTCCATCTGTGTGTGGCACAGGCAAGAAATGCGAAATTAAAAATGAAACTTTTTAATGAAAGACTTTATATCAAGATTTGACACAACGCTATTTAGAACGATACCGAGATAATTATAAGGAAAAAAAATACAGGTGTTAACGAGGCATTGCCACGCAGTTGATTATCGTCTTTCGATACGATCGAGCGGAGCCCATTCGTTTTCGCAACGACGATATACCGAATATATCGGTCTATCGGCGAACTGATGAAGCGCCTAATTTGTATAGACTCGACAGTAATGATGAAAGTATTACAGAGCAGGAGCTGAGGATGAATAAGTAAAAGATACGTGAAATCATTAATTCCTCGTTAACATCGAGCGCGAACAGCGTCCTTCCGCCATTTACGGGGCTCCTTCAGCCTAAGGCCGAATGTTTGAGCGGCCTGAATTTCCTATTACTGTTCCTAATTGACATCGCTGATATCCGTAGCGTAGAAACTTCCTCCGCTTCTATTTCCATATCGCTTTGTTTCGCCAGCATGTGTGCCACGAGACTGCAAAATAATCCAGCGCCGCGCACTGCTCGAATGCGCCCGCATGCGCGGGCGGCACCCTTCCCCCGCCCCCCCCTCTCACCTGCGACTACATAGCTACAAATGCGCACACACAGACATACACACATTCGCAGATCTACCGCGGCCGGCAGGTAGATCCCGCTATCCTGACGAAGAAAAGGCACGAGAGAGAGCTCGAAGGAGCGGAATGAATAATTGCGCGTCGCGAACGGCGACGGCGAGCCGGATGGCGGATTTGATTTGCAGAAGGGGAGGCAGTCGACGACAGCCGCGTACAATGATAACGTACGCCCTACTGATAGCGTGCGCCACGTTAACGATATCCCACTGCTGCTACGTCTTCCCGAAAGGTACTCCGGCAAGCGTAACAAACCTCTTCATTTTCCATTCTCGACGACTACGAATAGGACGACAACGACCATGACGACGACGACGACGACGACAACGACGACGACAACGACGACGACGATGACGACGACGACGACGACGACGACGACGGTTACGAGCGGCATCGACGGGCTTGTTACACGGCAACCGAGCTAGATTACTCCACAAGCGAATGAACGAGCGCCCCCTCGCTCGCTTGCGAAAAGTATCGAAACTTCTCCCCGGCGCGGAGAACTTTGGCGCGCGTTTATGCGTCTGGCGAATTAACGAGTACGCGAGAAGCTGTTGTGAGTCCTTTCAGCGTGTTCCAAAGTGAAACGCGAGTTACGAGTGCGCGCATGAATATTTGCGACGGGCGGAGGAGGGCAGAGTGCTTCCCTCATTTCCTCCTCGATTGCAGCCCGAAGTGCAGCACGCGTGACGTACGCAGCAGACACTGAACTAACGGTCGTTAATTTCGGCGAGGCAACTTTTTGGGCGACACGCGGGCGCTACGCGCGCGCACGAGAGAGAAAGAGAGAGAGAGAGAGAGAGAGAGAGAGAGAAAAGGAAACGCGACCCGCGCCACGTTTATTCATGAACTCTCGTTATCCGATACGGCCGTAACACGTAATAACACAACAATTATTCTCACAAAAAGAAACGCTCTCTTCTCTCGTCTCTCTCCTTCAGCTTACTCGTCTCGCGCGCACGAGAGATTCCGCCGTTTGGTTATTTCGCGAAAAAGATCCAGGACTGGAGAAGCGCCGTCGGGTCTGCGGTCTCCTACTCGTTTTCCTGCTCTTCCTGCCGCGTTCGCATCACGCGTCAACGATTTATGCCGCGAGCGAGCGCAAAGCGTCGCTTCCACTTACCTTGAGGAATACATCTCGTCGTTTATACAAGCGCACGCTCCGTGCACGCGTCGGCCGGCCCGTCGGAAAAATATCCAGCCACCGGGAGCCGGTGAATTTCGCTCGTACACGCGCGATCAAATTTTCACGAGGCGCAAAACCACGGCCTCTATTTCTTTTTCGCCCCGCTCCGCTTCTCTCTCTCTCTCTCTCTCTCTCTCTCTCTCTCTGTGTGTGTGTCTTTTTCGCGACGATAGCCCTCGGGGATCGCGGCACGCCAGTTAATGATCCACTACAAACGCGCGCCGCCTGTCACTGCCACCGCCGCTGCAACGAGCATTTCCCGCCAAAAACGCGGCGCCGCGTAAATTTCGTCGCGAATGAATCCCAGCGGGCGATAGTTTATTCATCGCGAATCGCGCGGATTTAATTTCACGGCACGTTACGGCCGCGCGCTCTCGCTCTCGCTCTCGCGCTCGCTCCGTGTTTACAGTCCGCAATTACATTCGACGACGGTGGCCGGCGGGTGTAGATTCGCGTTACGGGAAAAATATCATTGATTAAGCCCCGCGGATTTTTTCGTCCGTGCACACGCCACCGACCAAGCCGCCGCCGCCGCCGCCGCCGTCATCGCAATTGCCGTTGCTCGTGATGCCGAAAATGCCGGCCTTTGTGTCGTATTCGGACGGAGAAACCGACAATGGCATTCGACGAGAAAAGTGCTGCCGATTTATCATCCTGACTATTCGACAAAATAAGCAAATCGAACAGTATATATACTTTGCGATGCAGTTGTTTTCGGTGCTTCTAAAAAGAACAAGCAGATTTGAAATATCTTTGTTTGCAAAATCAAACCAGAAAAGAGAATCTACACCTACCACAGTAAAATGTTTATTGGAATTAATATAGCGAACCGTTCCAGAGGTTAAAATCTTTTCCATTTTATTTGTTTTATTTATTACTTTATATATGTAGGCCGAGGCGGAGGGAGACAAAGAGAGAGAGAGAGAGAGAGAGAGAGCGTTGGGAGAGAGATGTGTTGTTTTGAACGTTGGTGACGAATAGGTAACCGAAATTTAAACACGAGAAACAAAAGCAGGATCGGCGGTGAAGAAAGAAAATATCAATATAACAGGAAATATCAATATAACAGGAATCGGTCGGGAAGCGGGGCTTTTGCTCTTGCTCGTTCGCCGGGAGGTGGATCCTCTCTCTCGCTCTCGTCCGGACGTATCGACTGATAGGCGTTTGCAGATGGAATGTAAGACATGTTAAATTGAACATAATATAATAAATCCTGGCCACGATATGGCAAGAAGACTATTAATTGTCACTGATCTTACGTATCCACGATTGTTTTAATTACCTACATCTTTTATTGGATTATCGTAATTCTGAATTACGAATTTAGAGACGGAATTAGATAGGAAGAGGAACCACTTACATATATTATGTGTTATATTATAAACACATTATTTTATATTATGTAATATTGCATTATATTATATTATATCTCGTTTTTGTTATATTTAATTATATATAACATTATGTATTTGCGAAAAATAAATATTAAAATATAATACCTTTACTTCACACATATTTAAATGTCCGATCTCTTTAATATTTCCTTGAAAAGAATCGTCACAGCTGGAAATTAAAAATTTTTGACCGTCTGATCTATTGTTGATTTCTACTTTCTGGTCATAGAAAATTTTAAACTGTCCGACTTGCCATTAATTTATTTTACTTGCTTGAGGACATTTTTGACTGATTTGTTGTTGACTTGCACCGCTTATTTGAGGAAATTTTTCCGTCGTCTAACTTATCGTTAATTTAAAAAAAGAAATTATTTGGTTGTCTGATTTATCGTTGACTTCTACTACTTATTTGAGTAAACTCAGCTATCCGACTTGTTATCGTGTTCTTCGGTATTTTAAGCATCAGAATCATATTAGGAGCGAAAAAGTGACATAAAGTTTCTCGCAAGAAAACAAACATTTTCGATTTTTTGCCTTCTCAAATACCAGAAATATATAAGGAACAAAGATATAATACGTATAAATATATAAAAAGAAATACAACTCAGAGAGATTCAAAGTAATTTTTATTTCATTTTGATGCAATACAACACAACATACGACGAAAGATATAATATAATATAAAGTAACATAACATAATATATATAAAAATATATAAAAATATCATATATTTTTAATAAATACTATATATTATATATAATACAAAAATATATAATATGACATTTATAACACAGCACGTCCAATCAACCCATAATCTCGATACCATTTCGATTTTTTTGTATCGAGGGGTGTCACTTTAACAGAGATAATCACATCACGTCGCGCGCAAGGAGACACCGTTCGCGCGGGTCGATATAATGCAAAACGTCGGCAAGTCGAGCACGCGCCGAGAACACATTTCGCGGGAAGCACTGGGGACGAAGGATTACACGCCGCTTGACATTTCCGTCGTAAACTGGATGCGACAATTCCGATCCGCAAATACGAGAGCATTAAATTCTACGTATCGTCGTGATTGTCTTCGGCAAACATACCGCGCGGTGAAACGCATTGATCCTATTCGTCATTGGCTTTCGTCTCGTTACTTCGACGTCGCCGTCAGCGGCTTCCATCAGCGGGATTGACCGTAACATCGAACTGCTCTCGTCAACGGATTATCGCACCATTACCAATTCGTTTCCGGTGTACATATTATCGGGCGAAATAACCGAAGTAGAGAGAGAGAGGGGGAGAGAGAGAGAGAGAGAGAGAAAGGGAGAGGCAGACGTGTGTCTTGCATAATGCGAGCCTCGCGGGGTGATCTACTTTGATGAAGCATGACTTGTGATCATGAAATCGGCTGATGATCAATACACGAGTCCATCTGCGAGCGGAAACTCGACGAGAAACGCCCTTCTGACGAAGTCATTGACATTCGTTTCCATCAACGCCGATTTCTGACGTTTCATGCGCGCGTATACTATCTGAAATAAATAAGCCGCGCCCGACAAATTATGTGACGATAAATGCGCCCGACGTAATAGATCTGACTATATGTACATATTGCCATTGTGCAAACATTTAATAAACGTAACGTTGCAAGTCTCCACGCGTTATGAGAGTTATTCATGTTTGGGGGAAAATCGAGGGAGACAATTGACCCAGCCAGTTTTGGCGATGTTAACTAACTTCGAACGCGCCTGCTTTCTTTTGCAGAGATCAAGGACCCATGCACGAAGCTGAACTGCTCGCAAGGCTCGCACTGCGTGCGAAGCAGGGACGGCAAGGAGGCGATCTGCGAATGCCTGGAATCCTGCCCGAATTTAGGGAACCACGAGGGATCGGGCCCTGTCTGCGGCACGGACGGCATCGACTATCCGACACTGTGCGACCTAAATCGAGCCGCGTGTACGAAAGGTGCTAACATCACCGTGGCATTTCGTGGCAAATGCGGTAAGCACACTTCTCGATACTCCGCTGCGGATACGCGGGAACTCGAGCGAACGCGTCAGCTTAGCGCGGACGGGGATAATTTCACGCGACGAAATCCGCTTGCGACACGTTTCGCGCAAGATTCCTTCGTTTTATATACGTTTATACCTTCGTATATCGTTTTATTATATCGTTATATCATAGGGCGAGGTAGTGACTGCTACCATCCTCAATATCTCGCCGGTGAAATTTACTGATCGTTGCGAGACCCTTGATGGAGCAAGGAAACTCCACCGCCGCCATATAATTATCATGTCCCTCTTGTATATTTTCCCCTACATTGAGGTTTCGGAGGTATTCGAGGTGGCAAAACGACAGTCATTGCCTCACCTTATCTACCAATTTATTTAAACACCTTTCTGGAAATCTCACTTTTATACAGAAAAGTATTCTAGAAGAAGAAAAAGTATTCTATTTGTAAAGTGACTTTTCCCATAGTCTCATCTTTTAAGCGAAGCCTTTTATAGCAAAAGGATTCCTCTTTCGATAAAGCGAACCATTCATCTAAATTTTATTAGATATTATTCTAACTGTTTTCCTCTTGTTTCAAAAATATTTCCTTTTCTTTCAGCAGAAAGTCAAAGAAAATTTAACTGGAATTTTTTCTGGGCAATTTCATAATAATTTTCTCTTCTTTCCCTATAAAGGAATAATAATCAGTATGAATAAAGTACAGTAAGAATAAATAATAATCCTCTTAAAAAGAGATTAAATAATCTGTGTATAAGAGGAAATTTATATTAAAATCAATAAAATCTGCATTATACATATAATTCCTCTAATTTTAAAAGTAATGTATTTGTAATATTTTTCTCTTAGAGGAATCTTCTTACGGCCATATATAAGAACAAAATTCTCCAAAATTTAGATGATTCCGTTAGTTCTGAAATTACTTTCTTTTGGGTGCACTATTTCCCAGTCGAGTACAAATTATTTAATTTCCCTTTCACAAGTTGCGCACACAGAGCCTAACTGACAATCTAATTGTCTGACATATTAGGTTCTTCGAGCAACTTAATAATTAATCTGACCACATGAGTTTATCATGACCGTATAATAATAAGGTTAATCTGAGCGGACTTAACAAGCGCGTTTAAACTGCAGATCCGATCTTTCCTACGACGGATTACAGAATTGTCTTGACTCGGGTATCTCCAAGCAAAACAAACGATCACGCTCGATGTGTACCTACAAGAATCGAAATTGCAAGCGGGACTTACAGCGATCGGTCACTCGTGTGTATGTGTGTGTGTGTGTGTGTGTGTATGTGTGTTGAGTGGTTTCTCAAAATATTATTTTCTACTCACACAGACCGGAATTACCGCGGTGCCCCTTTCGAGTACACAGATATTTACAGTCGACGCGGTCGAGATAGCCGGACCGGCTATGTTCCGTGATAAGCGGCGTCGAACGTAAACACGGCCGGTCTCTCGCATGTAGGCGGCAGCAATTTTATTTCGTTTCTGTTTTGTGTGAAAATTGACTTTTGTATACGAAAGAAATACCGCTGTT